TTCTCTAGAAGAAAGTAAAGATTTCTTGGCCATCAACTTGAGCTTTGCGCAACCACCTGTCTCCTGTCGTTTGGGCTGTAGCTAGGATTTTGCTATACTATTTTCCAGAGTGACTGGGCCAGCTTGCAATTCCACCAACAGTGGACGAGGGTCCCATTTCCCCACAGTAGATATACATCTTAATGTTTTTTATTTTAATGGTGTATACAATACTATTGTATCATACATTTAATTTACCCAACCATATACAGACATATTTGGCCAACAAGAAAAGAAGAAAAAACAAAATAAACATGTGCTCTGAAATGCACTTGAGCTGTGAATCTGTTGCTCCTCTTAGCTCCTTTTTTGTGTCTGGTCATCAGGTTTAAAGATATGTTTATTTGTTTTTTGTTTTGGTTATTTCTCCTTATCGATCTTAGAGTCTCAGGATAGTTATGTGAGTACTGTGCCACTCTAATGCATTTTAAAATGTGAAATACAAATGAATTAATTCTCCTGTTACTTAAACAAAGAAAATAGATATGACAGAAAGTATATCTGTTTTCAAGATGTTGTTGAGTTACTCTTCGTTATATTCTGGTTATTCATTTATCTATCTGTCTGTCTATCTATCTATCTATCTATCATCTATCTATCTATCTATCTATCTATCTATCTATCTATCTATCTATCTATCTATGTTTTCTTTCTTGGGATTGAATGAGAAGCACCTCGCAGGCTAAGCTAACACTAACTCTCTACCATAGAGTTATACTTGAGGCTCCTTGACTCTGCTAGACTTGCTGGCCAGCATGCTCCAGGGCCCCTCCTGATTCTCCTCCCACAGTCTTGAAGGTGCAGACTTTCACTGCTGCACGAGGCTTGCTAAGCCAGGAAGCTCCAGGGTACCCCCTACTCATGCTCCCCCCAGTCCTGAGTTACAGATTTGCCCCTCTGCACGTGCTTTTTAATGTGTGTGCTGCAGATGTGAATGCAGTACTCATTTGTTCAGCAGACTCTTTGCTGATGGAGCCATTTTCCCAGATGTGCTTTAGCAAACCTGAAGAACTGTCATACTGTTGGTAAATGATCAGTTTTGATACGAATCTCCTTTAAAACCAGTCTGTAAAGAGAGGCCTTTTCCTTGAGAGAAGCCTTCCTGCTAGCCTGGTTCTAGAGCTGCATCAGTCCCAAATAAACACACAGGAGGCTATATTAATATTATGAAGCTGTTGGTCTTGCTTGTTTCTTACTGGCTAGCTCTGACTTAAGTAATTACCCCATAATTGTTAATCTAAGTATGTATCTTACCGGAGAAGTTTCCGGGCTTCCTACCCCATGGCATTACATCTTGACTCTCTGTGTTTCTCCTTCCCAGAGTCTTCCTGGACTCCTAGTCCCACCTATCTAGATTCCTATTGGCCAGCAGTGCTTTATTGACACAGGACTTCCACATCACCAGTCCAGTTTCTTCACTGCTGATTCTATTTGTGGGCAATGTTTTGTTTCTGATACCGTTGATACTTACTAAAGATTTGAGTAATAAACGAATAGCTACTCCATGCAGGTGCCATTATCCCCATTTTAAAGACAGAGAAAGAAATTGATCTACACATGAAGAAAAATGTACTTTCTTAAAACTAAAAAAAAATTGGGTTCACCTTCCATTTTCAAATTATATCATCTTTGGGAAAAAAATCTATCATTTTGAAATTCAGTTTTCTTATGTGACAACAGGAATCTTACTTCCTGAAAGGTTATTGGGAGGATTTGAGTGAAACCAATGTGAGAATGCTTTCAAACTGATGTGATATGCCATGCAGTTCAGGATAATAGTATTAAAATATACTGTCACCTGTGAGGCCATCCACTTAAAGACATTAGGGCAGAGTAGTCTCTCCTTCCTGCTTCCATACAGGTCTGCTTACCACCAAATTTGTGTACATTACTAACGTTTCCATCCCATCTTCTTCCCCACTAATGTCTCCTCTTGTTTTTCCCCTTTCTCCCTTCATAGCATCTGTTTTCCATACATCCCTCCTCAGATGCCTTTGTCCTCTACCCCCTGTGGTCCTTTCCTACTTCCCTGGACTCTGTAGTTCCTCCTCTCATTTAAGGATTTGGAGCTAGAGCTACACTTTCTGGGTCTACATTACATCGTTCACTGTAATACTTTCTGGTTCTATCTGTTTACCTGAAAGTTTCATAGTTTCAGTTTTCCTTACATTTCTTATTGTGTATATGCACGACATTTTCATTATCTGTCGATCAGTTGATGGGCATTTAGGCTGCTTCCATGTCATGCAGTAATGAACATGAAGAAAAACACGTTATCTATGTAATAAAATATAAAGTCCTTTATGTATATGTCTGGGAGTCATACAGCCCAGTCATATGGTAGATATATTTTTAATCTCCACACTAATTTCCATAGTGAGTGAGGATTCCCCTTCCTCTATATCCTCTCCAGCATTTTTAAGAAAAATATTGGCCATTATGAGTGGTGTAAAATGAAATCTAAAGGTATTATTAATTTGCATCTCCCCTGCTAAGGATGGTGAACACGCTTTTGGGTATTTCTAATCAATCTTTATTTCTTTGCTTGAGAACTGTCTCTTCAGACTATGGACTCAGCACGACATACCCAACAGTGCAATAATAGGGTAAACAATGACTGTCTGAATGAATTTCAAGTCCTCTCAATGGGAGGGAATTCATTACCTCGTACTGCAAATCTAGCCAAGAACCCGTAATTGCAGAGGTCATAGACCTTAAGGAAAACTTACTACAACCATTTTGCTAACCTGATATAGCCTCCAACTGCCTTCTTATAAGTAAAGGATCCACTTATCTTTATACCTATAGATAGGTGCAGCTCTCAGTCCTCAGAGAAGCTTCTTTTTGTGTCAGACAGAGGACATCTCAGAGAGCCACACTCAATGAGCATAGAATAAGTAGCTTTGCAGTATGCATACCCAAATAAGGTATCTATAATACAACTCGATATGCACAAAGCAAGGACCATCACAGAAGAGTTGGTGGGAATATTCTGAGAGCTGGAGGACTAAGAGAAATGCTGCAAAATAGTGTCTTCTGGACATGACAAAGATATTGTACCAATGGACTCCCAGCATTATTGTTACCTGCCCAAGACTTGCACAAAGCCACAAAGTCAATCGTCTAGCATGGATGGGAAAAAGATATACAGAGCCCCACCATATGCTGAAGAGGTACAGGAAGTTAGTGGTTGCTGAGTGGGGATGGGGGAGTCAATTTTCTTTAGGGACAAAACTCCTGATACATTTTCCCTGCCCAAGTGGTCAAGTGGTCATCCCTACACCCAAGAACATAAGGTCAATGATAAAGTGTGTGTGTGTGTGTGTGGAGTAAGAGGTAAAGTCATGAATTTGAGAAAGAGACGTGAGCGGTGAGGAAGACAAGAGAGGCGTTGGAGTGGGAAGAAGATGGGTAGTTACGATGAAAATACATTGCACCCATTTATGGAGTTTCCAAAGAAATTAGTTAAATATTTCAAATAGATTAGGCAAAATTTCCTTTCTAAAATGACAACTTACAATGAAAAACAAAGATTGGGATCACAGGACTATCTGGAGGAATCCTGTTGCTTAACGGTAGTTCTCTTTCAGAGCAAGTTTCATCAGATGGGGAAAGCTGCACTTTTCTTTGCAGTAAGCTACAGTCTCTTTGGGATTATAGCTTGTATTCTCAAATCTCTGCTCTGTAATACCGCCACAAATATACTTTGGCATTAAGGGACTTCATGAGATGCAAGTCATGCTTGACATTGCTCAAGTGACCAAGAACCTAGGGGAAATCTAAAAGAACTGTTCTGCTAAAGGAACATTGCAATAAAATGACTCCTAATGACATTCTGCTGTACTTATGGATAAGTGTGCCACTCAGCCATCATTAGAGAAGGGTCTCCTTTTAGCAGATGGGAACAAACACAGAGACCCACACCTGGACAATGCATAGAGAGTGAGAGACCTCGGAGCGCTCATGGCTCAGGAACCAGAGGGAATGGAAGACTCCAAGGAGGCCAGGCCTTCTAGACACGACAGGGTTGACACACATCTGAACTCACGGAGACTGTGGCAACATGCACAGGACCTGCATGGGTCTGGAACTGATGGGACTCCGATGCTAAGATGGGGAGTGGACACAATCCTCCATTTCTAACCTCTAAGCTGTCTGCAGTGGATAATTTCTCTCTCTCTCTCTCTCTCTCTCTCTCTCTCCTTCCTTTCTCCTTTATTTCCTTCTTTCTTTTCTCTCTCTCTTTTTAAATACATTTTATTTAATCAGAATCAATACTATTTTGCATATCAATCCCAGTTCCCTCTCCCTCCCGTCCTACCATGCCTCTTACTGACCCCCCCATCCCAATCCCCATCCATTACCCAGGGAGGGTGAGGCCTTCCATGAGGGATCACCAAAGTCTATCAAGTCATTTAGGGCAGGGCCTCGGCCCTCCCCTGTGTATCTAGGCTAAGAGAGTGTCCCTCCATGGGAAATAGGCTCCTGAAGTTTGTTCATTTACTAGGGATACATCCTGGTTCCACTGCCAGAGACCCCATAGTGTGCCCAGTGCTCCTAACTAACACCCACGTTCAGGGGGCCTGGTTTGGTCCTGTGTTGGTTCCCCAGCTGTCAGACTGGGGTCAATGAGTTCCCACTGTTCAGGTCAGCTGTTTCTGTGGGATTTCCCTGAACAAATTGTGAGCATGGGCAAGGGGGGAGTGAGGTAGGAGAAAGAGGAGGGGAGAAGAGGAGGGGAGAGGAAAACATGAGGGATCAGGAAGATTGAGTGGGGAGAGGAATTGAGGAGAGCAAGACAAGAGACACATCAACAGAGGGAGCCACTACAGGTTTAAAGAGAAATCTGGCTCTAGGAAAATCTCCAGAGATCCACAAGGACCCTAAGCAATAGTAGAGAGGCTACCTTAAAAGCCCTTCCCCTATAATGAGAACAGTGACGACCTTAAATGTCATTCTAGAGCCTTCATCCAGCGGCTGATGGACGCAGAAGCAGACACTCACAGCTAAGCACTGAGCCACACTCCTGGAATCCAGTTTCAGAGAGGAGGAGTGACGAACAAAGTGGATAGCTTTTCACAAAGGAAAAACCAGCCTCACTTGGTATGCAAACCACACTGAAGGGCAGGCCGCATGCTCAGCAGTGGATGGCCAACACAAAAATAACTCAATGCTTTGTCTGGGCATGCTTCTTACATGTCTTTTGCTTAGATAGTATGGTTTCTGAGTTTGCTTTTCTGGCCACTTGTTTGAGTATGCACATGTGTATGTGTAGACCTGTGTGTGTTTCTTGCATTTTCTCTTTGGTTCTTTTACTTTTATTGTTGTTCTTTTATATTCTGATTTTGTTTTTATTTTTAAGTGTTAGATGCCTGTTTGTTTTCTAATGAGAGAGAGAAAGAAAGGGGGTAGATTTGGGTGGATGAGGAGGTAGGGAGGATCTGGGAGCCATCAAGGGAAGGGAAACCACAATCTGAATACATTGTATGAGGAATATATTTATAAGTTAGCAAGAAGAAAATTTAGCAAGAAGATATTGAGCAATTACTTATTTTAGTTAGAACTCAGACCATGTCGCATGTAAAGTAAAATCTTCCGGAATACTAACTTTTTTTTTTAAAAAGTATTTTTCTCTTACACATTACATCCCAATTGCCGTTTCCCCTCTCTCTGCTTCTCTCAGCTTCCCTCTCCCCCAGATCTACTGCTCCTCCATTTCCCTTAAAAAAATAACAGGCCTCCCAGGGACATCAACAGAACATGACATAGCAAGATGCAGTAAGACTGGGCATAGATCCTTATATCAAGACTGAATGAGGCAACCCAGTAGGATGAAAAAGGTCCCTAGAGCAGGTGAAAGACTCAGAGGCACTCTCCACCCCACTGCTGGCAGTCCCACAAGAGCACCCAGCTACACAACCATAAACTATATGCTGAGGACCTAGCTCAGACTCATGCAGGGCCCATGCTTCTTACTTCAGTCTCTGTGAGCCCCTATGAGCCCTGCTCAGTAGACTCTGTGGGTCAAATTCTCTTGGTGACTCCTCTTCTACATGGTTCGCAAGGTCTTACAGTGTTTGGTTGTGAGTTTCTGTATCTGCTCCCATCGACTGTTGGATTTCATCTCTGATGACAATTGGGCTAAGCACTGATCTGTGAGTGTAGCAGAATATGATTAGGAATCATTTCATTGACTTTAATTTTTTTTTTGCCTGTCCTGTTTGGTTCTATCTAACCTACGTTTCTGGGCTGTCCAGCTCCTCCTTCCTGTCATCCAGGCGGTGTCAGGCATGGGCTCCCTCTCCCTGTGACATCATTATCCTAGCACATCATGCATGCAGGACAGATTTTTGTGGATGTGTTAATGTCCCAGCCTCACTGATGGAAGCTTTGCCTGGTTATAGAAGATACATTGGGTTCTATGTTTTAATTAATTCATTTAGTTATTTTCAACACAGATTTCTCAGATTAACTCTTTATTGAATGTTTAATACTTGGTATGGAATATTCAGTATTGTAAGCCACTAGAAATCCCAACTGAAAATATAGGTTTCATATCAATCAGTATGTCAAGGACCAGATATGTTTCAAAGTTTCAAGATTTTTCAAATTTTGGGATATTTGAATTTTTGAGAAGTTCTGAAAATGGGGCCCAAGTCTACACATGAAATTAATCTGTTCCACATCTACTTTACGCCTATATGTCCATCTAGGCATCTCATTAAAACTGCCTCTGGTGTCAGCACAGCACACAGAGGAACTTTCATCTATAACATGTGTTTTGGCTGGATAGTTTGCTGTTTACTTTTGAAGTTTGAATATAATTGAGTTTGAATATAATTTTGGCAAAGTCAAGTTGCCTAGAAGTATACACAATGGAGTACTATTCAGTGGAAAAAAACAATGGAATCTTGAAATTTGCAGGCAAATGGATGGCACTAGAAGAAACAATCCTGAGTGAGGTAACCCAGTCACAAAAAGAGAAACATGGTATGTACTCACTCATTTATGGATTTTGACACGAATCAGGGGAGTGCCAGCATACAATCCCACTGCCAGAGAGTCTGGGAAACAGAACCTTCATCCAGCGATTGATGAAAGCATAGGCAGATACCCACAGCTGAACACTGAACTGAACTCCTGGAATCCAGTGTCAGAAAGTGAGAACTGATGGGCAAAGGAGTTAAGACTGGGCTGGTTTAACCCACAGAAACAGTTGATCTGAACAAGGGGGAACTCTTGGACTCCAGATTTATTGAGAGGGAGCTGGGATTGACATGTGAAACAAGCTTGTTTCTAACTTAAATAAAAAAGGAAAAAAAAATAAAAAAAGAAGTATACAAATCAGAGTCAACTTTTCACATGTCTTAAAGAGATCTGTAGTATTGAGAAAAATCTCTATTGTCATGTGAAGATACTACATGTATTTGGAAGTTTGAACTGAGATGAGAATATTGCAAAAATACAAGAAAATTTATTCAACCAATTTTGAGTGTTAGTGACAAAAGAAGGTATTCAATTTGCAATGTTTTTAACTTATATGGAACATTTAGCAGTGGAAAACAATGACAGAACCATCATCCAGTCTGCACTCAGACTACTGTAAGTAGTTCAGAGGCCAGAAAAGATACTGTCTTTGAGAAAATTTGGCTATTTCCCTTTGAAAGTTGGGGTAAAGCGCTGGAGACGGAGCTCAGTTGCAAGAATGCTTCACCAGCTTGCAGAAAAGCCCAGCTTTTGATTACACATGCCACACAAAATGCGGTGGTGGCACAGACCTGGAATTTCAGCACTTGGGAAGTAGATGCAGAAAGATTAGAGGTTCAGTCACATTGGTTTACAGAAAACCCCATCTTAAAACAAAAAAGCAAAACAATCACCAAAAAACATTTAATTTAAAAATTCTAAAGGAAAGAAACAGTGGTGTACAAATGGCAACATGCCGACCAGCAATGTGACTGGTCAACAACTTGATGAGGTGTCCCCAAAGTGACCCTCGGTCCAGTCTCCAGAACCCAACACTGTTCATATTTACTAATATATTTAAAACATACATGTGGGATGTGAGAAAACTCTGGAGAGCCTCAATGGTCTTTTCCTCATGTTTCATGCCATGATATTTGCCATAGTTTTTGTTTATTTTTTCCGTCGTCTGCACATGTCAAAGTTACACCAATTGGCTTTTATGCACAATAAACAATTCTGCAGTAAGTACACACATTTAAATATGGGTGTACAGGTGGAACCAATAACACTCACATGCTAACAAGCAAAACCAAGGCTTTGTGAGCAAACCCTCCTGGATCTTGTAGTTGTCACTGTTCTACAATGAAGTGCAATTAGGGGAGAGAGCTTAATTTTTCCATCTAATTGAATTTGCCAAATCAAAATCTTTGATCCACTTGTTGGAAACTGGTGCATGTCTGTCTTCATTAGGGTTACTACTGCTGTGAAGAAACACCATGACCAAAAGCGATTTGGGGAGCAAAGGGTTTATTTAGCTTCTAAATCTCAAGTCATAGTCTACTGAGGGAAGCTAAGGCAGGACTTCAGGGTGGACAGGAACCTGGAGGCAAGAGCTGATACAGAGGCCACATAGGAGTGTACTCCTGTGGCTTGCCTAGCCTGCTTTCTTATAGAACTCAGGACGACCAGCCCAGGGTGGTACCATCCACAATCGGTTATGCCCTCCCCTATCAATCACTAATTAAGAAAAATGCCCTACAGGCCTGCCTACAGCATTGTCTCAGTTGAGATTCGGTCCTCTCCGATGACTATAGCTTGTGTCAGGTTGACATCAAATTAGCCAGCACAATGTCTCTTCTCAGAATCTACAAACTCACTAGGTGAGAGACTGACAAGTGAGGGAAGAGAACATAACCTTGCATTTGGTTTCAGGCAGCACAAGTTTTAATTACAGCTGTGGGTATGAGGGGAGTGGGAATGTAAGACTTTTGCACAGCAAGTTAAACAAACAGCGAAAACGTCCCCAACATTTATGGGCATCCTTCCTACCTCAGCATCCTTTATGTGCCTAGAAAGTTGGGATTTGAGTTACTGACTAAGAGGCTAAAGAGATGGCCCAGTGGTTATGAGTACTTGTTCCTCCAGACAGCTAGGGCTCAGTTCCTAGCAGTCACAAAGTGGCTCACAACTCCAATACCAGGAGATCTGATGTCCTGTTCTGACCTCCTCAGGCACTAGATTTGCACACAGTGCTCATAAAGACATGCAGGCAAAATACTCACACATAAAATAAAATAATCTAGTAAAGTAAAATGAAAAGTGGGGCTTTCATAGACCAATGCCTAACCCAGCAGATGGAACTGATGGAAACACATGCAAAGACCCACACCCAAACAGAGTTCGGGGAGCCCTGCTGAACAGAGGGAGGAAGGATTGTAGGACCCGGTGGTGTCAAGGACACCACAAGAAAATCTACAGAATCAACTCACCCCAGCTCATAGTGGCTTACAGAGACTGAACCAACAACCATGGAGCCTACATAGGACTAACTTACCCCAGCCCTCTGCATATATGTTATGGTTGTGTGTAACTTGATTTTTTTTGTGAGACTCCTAACAGTGAGAGCAGGGGCTGTCTCTCACTCTGTGGCCTGCTTTTGGAACTCTTTCCTCCTTTCAGACTGCATCATCCAGCCTTAATAGAAGAGGATGTGCTAGTCTCACTGCAACTTGATGATACAGCATGGCTGGCTGGCATCCATGGGAGGCCTGGCCATATCTGAAAAACAGAGGAGGAGAGGTGAATGGAGTGGGGGGGTGAGGGGAGGGAGAAGAAACTTTGGTTTGGCAAACAAACAAACAAACAAACAAAAAAGGGGCCTTAAATGATGCCTCTGCCAAATTCATTACAAAAGTCCAGGAAAGGGTTGCATTATGGGAGTTCACATTTGGACAGTGTTTCAGAGAGGTTGGGTTCCTTTATTCTTATTCACCTTTCTCCGTAAGCAGGATTTTTCCAGTTGAAAGTTATCACTATCAAGGCAACTGCCCTTTGAATTCATAGTAAAAGGATGCTAGCTAACACGAAGTAACCTTGAACCAGGTGTCGGGGCAAACATTTTTAGTCCCAGTGCTCTG